GTCCTTTGCTCAACACAAGAGGAAATGGACAAATGTTTCGAATTGTTAAACGCACAGTCAGAGTACATCAAGTCCACTCGAAAAAAGCCGAAAGGAAAATTGCTTCCATTTTTGAACGTACAAATTCACCTATCAGAAAATGGCTACATTACGAAGTGGTACCGAAAGCCAAGTAGTAAAAACATCTTGGTTCATTACCTCTCCTCTCACGCCTCTCACACGAAAAGGGCGCTTATAAGAAACATGTTTCGAACAGCAACCAACGTGTGCACGGGAAGAGAGCAGAGAGAGGAGTCCCGGAACTTGGNACGGCAAATAGCCGTTTCTAATGGCTACGAAACTGTAGCTCAGGATAGGTGTAGAGGAAATCGTAGGCCTCTAAACGACAACTCTAGCGATAGAAGGGTCCCGTTTATCCTACCCTTCATCTCAAATAATATAAGTACAGCTATAAAACGCTGCTTAAGAAGGGCGGGCTTAGAGAATTCGGTGAGCGTAGTTGAAATACCACCGAGTAATCTTAAGCGCCAGCTAGTTCGTAACCGCCTATATGACCGTCTGTGTGCAACTCAAAATTGCATAATTTTCCCCAGTGGTAGAGACGGTGATTGCATGAGCTCGGGTATAGTTTATCTGATCTCCTGTAAGACGTGCAGAGACGAATACATTGGCGAAACGGGTAGACCAGAGACATAACGGGGACGACTTTGAAGTATGTGTCACGATCCTCGCACGCGATTCAAGAACACAGGCGCGAAAAACTCTCGAGGCACTCTGGATTAATTCCAGAAATCCGAAAATGAACCGCAGGGAAGAATGCTTCATTATCATGCGTGATATAGGGCAGTATATAAGACTGCTATTCTGATGAGAGGGGAACATTATACTTCCATGTGATTTTTGTTCGGTTGGTCTCTACATGACATACTTGGTGGAAACCTCATAGGAAGCGGCTCTGAGGAAGGCGAAATCCGCCGAAACGTCTGCTTAATCGTAAACAAAGAATAATAACACCTCGCGTTTGCTCAACAAAAATTCGAGGAATTTCTTTCAATAAAAGTTATCAAGGTCGATTAGCATTCGTTCTGTCTGGCTTATTCTTGGTGTGATAAGAACAGTGACGTCGGCAATGGGGAGATGGTGTTATTCTCGACATCCATTTTCACTCTCAAGTTGTACTATTCCATTGTTCGCATGACGTTAAAGAGTGCGAAGCTGTTGGGAAGATGCTATCGCCTTGCCTAACCCCTCTTTTAACGCCGTTGTTAGCATCGTTGTAGAATGGCGATATCTTGGTTGTTAAACTTCAAATAGGGACTCCCTGGCTGTCTCGGGAGTCCAGGACTGCTTCGTTCTCAACTTAGACAAATGCCTTCTTTAAATCGAAGAAAATGAGACAGAGCGGTCTTTTGTACTCTCACGATACTTCAATGAGTAATTCTTCGTATTCTTGTTTAGCAAACACGAGGTGTTATTTTATTTCTTTATTTACGCACGAGCTGACGTTTCAGCGGTTTTCGCCTTCCTCAGGGCCTGGAAAGGTCAATTTGACAGCAATCTATTCACCCAAACACCTCCATAACCAAGCAGAGTAAACCTAAACCAAAATTTCAATCACATTGAACACAGAATAGCTTTTTTGCACACTTAGATAATAGATGCACGATACTTCAATGAGTCTTGTTATCGTGTGGATATGCTCTATTGTACTGAATCCTTTTCGAAATAGAATGACTGGAGTGGAAATTTGTAGAAGACAGGCAGTAAGCAGATTGGACCGCGGTTGTCTATGTCGTAAAGGTCACACTTTTTGAATCTTGTAATATCTTGCTGCCATTTAATAGGAGCCTACGAACCTTACATTCTGACAGGATTACATTTGAAGGGCCGACATAGTGTGTTTGTGAAAACCGGCGGAGGGTTCTTCAGGTGTTTATATCCTATCTACTTATTACTAAGTTCTTACTAATTCCTGTCCAAACCGTGTCAGGTTCGATTCTTCATCGACAAAATAACATGTCAGATTTTGGAAGGCTGAATCGGTGGTGCGACATGTCCATCTTTCTTTGTTTAATATGAGGGAAGAAGGACGTGGTTCTAAAGAGATCTGAGTAGTATTCGAGAATGATTTTCTTCACTATCTTTCGGAATCTGTCACTACTTCGTCTGGACATTGGAATGCGATAATCTTGGTCCTGTAATTGGCGAAGTTCCGGTGGGTGTTGGCAGCCCATAACAGCTGATCTTTTCTCTTTAAGATCTTGTTTTACTGCCTATCTGCATTGTTTTGCAAGTTCGGACATTAGTTCATGATTATCTGCACTTCTTGCGATGGCGCGCTGGCGTGCCAGATCAATTATTTCTGGGGATAGACCCTTGGTGACTTTCTATTTCTCAACCTTTAGACTGGAGCTTCTGGAATTGCGAGTTTCCATGCATCGCCTTGGTCGCTGTGATCTCAGACGTCCTGATTGTCCCATTCTAATCTTAGGGTCTCATTGTAACGTTCTTCGAACGTTCTTCTGAGTCCATTCTTAGCGTTAAATTCTCCAGTAATTACCCTGAAGAATGTATAATCTTCACTGTAGAACTTCTCCAAGTACAAAGTTGCTGCTACTTCTCTATCTACCAGTACCATCTGCAATCACCCATCAACGAGATTGATCTCGAGAGCCAAATCGACAATGAACCCAGTTAAGCTGAGGCTAGAGTTAAAACCACAATGTTAACTTTTTTATTTACTACCTATTACAATTTTTCATGGCAGTGTATTCATGTGATACAACCACGGTGATACTGAGATATTTGCAAAACTCTGGCTCCCCAGATCAATCCTATTGATAGGTGATTGCTGATGGCGTTGATCGATAGAACTAGCTGAGAGGCAGGAGGAAAGAAGGACCCGCATAGTGTGGTGGTGAACGCCTTAGTCCCCAGAAAGGGTAATGGCGCGTTCGTTGCCACCGCAAACACCTGCAGTCCTGAGATTTGCAAATATCTCAGCATCATTGAAGTTATGCTCAACAGTGTTGTCACTTTTTACTTGATGCTTATTCTTTTTCAAGATAGGAAATAATGTGAATTATAGCTACAATGACGGTGAGATATTTGCAAATCTCCGGACTGCAGGTCTCTGCGGATGGAACTCGCTATTACCTTACCACTCTCTACTACACCTGCGGTCCGGAATTTTGCTAATATCTCAGCATCATTGTAGCCATACTCAACAGTCTCGAAACTTATTGTTCCTTCTGTTCACTGAACCGGAGAAAATTTAGCAGACTAACCTACTTCTTCTACCGCTAAACTCCCACATCTGGGTATTACACATTTGCGTTTCTTTCAGATAAACGGCATTTGTATTAATTTTCGAAGCTCCTTTATCACAAAACGTCTTATTATATCGTTCACATAGTACATATTTTTTTATTTTGTCATTGCTGTTCGGAGACAGAGAAATCTATTCAGTGAAAGCACAAAACAATTCACAAAATGGCCCACGAATGGTTTTCCTTCTTCGAGTGAATCACTCGATCTTTTACTGTTGGATCAATTGCAATGGCAATATGAGTTAGACTTATTAAAATGATTGGATCATCGCCCAAGGTCTGTAGAAGAGAGGCGAAGAGATGATTGAGGAGTACTTTTTGATTAACTTAGCTATTAAAAAAACACACACAACTCCTTTCATATTCCTTGTATTTCAAACCGATCGTAGTTATCGCACTGTAGCTGATATCTAAGCTCATTTTTTAAGATTACTTGCATTGACACAGTCATTGTAAGAAGCACCTTCTCATTTTTTATTCTTTGGAGATAATCCATTTTATAAGCCACCTATCTTATTAGGCTGATAGTTCTTTAAGGAAAAGCCTAGGACCTAAGTGTTATGAAATCGTTCTAAAAAGCTCAACAGTATCCGCTCCGTGTAGTCTCATCGACAGCCACAGTAACCAGAAAAACAATTTAATCTTCGTAATACATAGGGTAGATCTCCACTTCATTTTTGAAGTAGTGATTAATCTTTGATAACGGAGCAATATCATATTTCGCTTGTAGCGCAGCGATTAGAAATGCCATGCAAACACATATAGTCAGTGATTTGATCCCGTGCCTAGAGCTTCCAAGAGTTCCTTGGCCCCAGGATAACCAAATAGGTACCAAAATTGCTGATCTGTTGGCTCACCTAAGAGCTGATGATAGCTTTGAACTTGAACAGCGACGGATCGGAAGACACAAAATCATCAGTGGATACTAACTCATCTGTATTTCAGACTCTTTTTTCCTTATTTCGTAGATGCTAGCCTGGGAGAGGCACATTACCTACCCATGTAAACTCTTTGCTGTTGGTTTCGAGAAGACTTACAAAAACTGTGACTGTGTAAAGAACCTGTTTCCCACGCGAGTGAAATTATGGTATTTCGTTTTTCTGCCGGTGTTATGGAGGTATTTGGCTGACTTGGTTGCCATCATCTTGACTTTTCCAGACTCCGAAGAAGGCAAAATCGCCCGAAACATTAGTAATAGCGAAATAAATGGTATTGTAACAACCTACTGTCTGCTCAGTAGATAAGTGATCAATGCCGAGGTGAATAGGAAGTTGATTCTGGGAATTACTAAATTACTGCTAGTAGTTAAAAGGAAAGAACAGTGTAGAAATTCTTTCACAATAGATAGATAAAGATTGCAAGATTGATAGATATGCAAGATTTATAGATATTCACAACAAAATACGTCTTCATAAGATTTTCTAACAGTGGAAACAATGCACTGAGAAGAAAAGCTACAGTATTTCCAGGATTGCTCCGAAGAAAAAACAAACGAACAAAAAAAGAAGAAAAAATAACCATGATAATGACTGTATATGTGTAGATAATAAGAACTAAATGAGGCAGCAATTAACATTAGAATTCTTCAGAACACTGGGTAATGGCATAGACACATGTAGTAGTACCAGTAATAATGAGAACCATGAAGCGAAGAAACGACAGCAGTACCGTGTTGGACCTGTTCAAGCTCGATTGTTCAACAGATTCAGTGCCGAATGAGCCTGGAATGAACTGGAACTCATTCCTCTCTTTCTATTTCTCCTTCTCTTTCTCTTTCTATTTCTCCTTCTCTTTCTCTTTCTCTTTCTCTTTCTCTTCCTTTTTTTCTCCCTTCTTCTCCCTTTTTCTGTCTTTCTGTTTCTCTCCCTCTATCCGAAAAAAACTATTTTACAACCACAACAGCCAGCTAGTCGACCAAATTTGTCCAAGTGAGCCAAATCATGATAAAGCTTTTAGGATGCAGCTGTTTATTCACTTGAATTACCTGAGCTTGTGCTAATTGTTGAAGTACAAATAGCTGTAGATCTGAAGACGGAAAGGCAAACGGTAACTTGACCGCAGCCGTGTTGAAAAAGCTGAAATTTGACAACTATCAATAACCTGGTCAAATCATTTGATGAAAGCCTTCACAATCTAAGGAGTTCCGTAGTCGAACTACTATTACCTTCCTTCCTATTACCTCCGATGTTTAACATAACTTTGCTAATTACTTCATCTGCCCATCAGATCGACCTTATTTGGGTTACTGTTCTCCTGGTATTCGAAAAAAAACTTACGTATTTCTCCATGACAAATCTAAAGGGATGGCCATTTGATCCTGATTAGAAGCAGCGGCTTTTCGTTTCCCGAGAATTGATGATGAAGCCTCGGACTAAACAAGAATTTCAACTATGAAGTAAAAAAGGATGAATAAGTGAAGAAGTAGTGCCTTTTCATTCTCGCTTCCTGTTGAATTCGAAGACGCAGCTTCGGCAACCGTTGGTAATTGCAGCGCTGCTGGAAGGTTGACTGAAGCTGCCGAAGGAAGACATGCGGTCTGAAATCTACTGCAGAAACTAAGGTTACTTTGAGTGAAATCCCATGAAATTAGATGAAATCCTAATGCATGAAAAATAAAAGGGAAAATTTCTTAGAGTTGATCAACCCCTAAGAGATGCGCCATGCATTCGGCTTCGTCGAGCATTAGAGTGACTGAATGCATCACAGTGGCTCGGAGTGGCCTACTGATGTGTCGAGTCAGTGCTATAGTCTGGTGCCAATTGACCAACCTCGGAGTGGACCCATGTGTATTGCAGAACGGCTCTAACCAGTGCCCTTGCCCTACGCACGCTAGTAGGAACTAGGAAGAGTTATAATATTTCTTTGGAAGCATCACAGTGGTATTCTGATAGCATAAAATCGAAACGTCATTTAGTGCACAGTGACGAAAATTCATAGAGTAGGAGGTGATGGTGGAAATGTACGGGTGATGTCAATCACCTGTCTTAATTTCTAAAGTGCACTTCGTTTTCAAGTTATTTCGCTCTTAAGGTTTAAGTTTTTTGTGTTCTTTTTCTAACATTTAATAGGGTTCGGTTTTAAAAGCTATGTGGGCCTGTCCATATTCCCAAGCAATAGTGTGCGTTATAGAAAAAAGGGCAATCTGCCAAAAGTTTTAGAAAAGTCAAAAACATCATGTAGAACTGCTCAGTAGATTGTAAGAACAAAGGAAATGTTAATCTGAAAAAATCTCGGTCGCCGACCTACGGCGAACACTGGACAATAATACAATTGCTAAGAAGAGCGTTAGCAGAAATGATCACATTGCTAAAAGTCTTGAAGTGGCTCATTAATTTGTCAAACCAAGAAAACTCGGATTTTGGACTTATCTTCAGAGCAAAAGCCTGCTTCACAGCGGGGCGGATGAAGGGGAATGAGTGCAAAAATGTAGTAAATTGCAAAAGATCTGCAGAGTTGGCCACATGGAAGATTATTTTTTAAAAACGAGTAAATTTTTGAAGTCGATTTCGTACAAAATTGCGGAAACGATCTTCATCAGATTATCTTAGCAGCGAAGAAGTCCGACAGAAGAGGAATTTTCACAATAGAATAATGGTCTGAAGACGAACGTATGCAAAATGTGAAAGCCCATGAAGAATAAAGAGGAAGCTCAAAATCCATGCCGCAGTCTACCAAGACAGATTGTTTTGTTAGGGCTGCTTCTGCAGGACGGAAGAAATCTCAACATGATCAATTAACTTGCATGAGGGTCGGTCTACGGTGTAAAGAAGATTTAAGGAGCGTGTATCTGAAGCGTAAATTTTTCTGTAGACTCTACCAAAGATCGTTTAACAAAAATTTCCTAAATGACTGAGCTAATGCGAGGGTGGCCTTTTAACATGCCGCAATCCTAAGCGATGAAGAAGAAGCTAAAGTCAAGTTAAATCCATCTGTTTCCAAACGACTACATGGCTTGAAATTCTGAAATGTGAGGCAGCCGTGGAGTACACTCATGTTCATTGGTGTAATTAGGCGTTAGTCCAGTTAAGTCGCAATTGACAAACATACCAGACTTGACGACGAAGAGCTCAGTACGATCGACAATGGCCGTCAATTATAATTGATGAGAACCTGGGATCGCTTTAGCAGCAGAGGTCGTCTTGACTCCAGGAAGAATCACTCCCACAAAAACATGCCAACGAAGTAATTTGCCGAAGTTTCTCGGTGGTACAGATGCAAGTGGTGTACGTTTTACTACATAGCCGCGTGCTGTTATGCATCATAGGTGGGACCTACGATCTCGATTACAAAGTATTCTAGCCATTTTCAGAGGTAATATCTACCAAGATACAGTAACGTTACTTACGCCTATTTAAGAACAAGTCTATCGTATGACGTCCTACGGTAGAAATATTTTCGTCTAAATTTCTTATGGACACATAACGACGAACCGCTGCTGCCATCGTGAAAGCGGCAGTGTTGATGCCGACCTGATCACGAAATGTTTGTGACGCTTCTGGCATATGCAACTTAGGATTAGTGTTGGCCGAATGGCGATTCCTGGAACAAAAAAAAACGGACTCAACAGTCGAAATGCGTTGCTCTTTCTTCTCATAGGACAGGAGAAGATTGGGCAAACTAACCTGCTTCTCCTGCTGCTGAACTCTTTCCCACAGCCGGGTATTGTGCACATATGCATTTCTTTCAGATGAACGGCACTTGTGTGAATTTTCAAAGCTCCTTTATCGCAAAACGACTTATTACATCGTTCACACAGTACACGTTTCTTCATTTTGTTATTGCCGTTCGGGGACTGAAATTCGATGAAAGTGTTTAAAAGTTATAAAGGAAAAACTACAAAATAACATTATTCATCGGATGTTTTTTGCTCAATCAACACAAATGCAGAATGAAGAATGTGACATATCGTCAGGCTTCAACAGCATCGAAACGAACTTGATCTCTTCCACAGACTACATTTGCAAGATAATAAAATGATTTCAAAAGTATTGGAGTCTGTGCTCCATCTAGGAATCATTTGTCTAAGGACCTATGTAAATCTTGTGGTGTTTTGTGAGCGTTGATAAGATATGGAGTGGTTTCCTTCCGAAGAAGATTAACAACTAAGTGTTTCCATTCTCTTGATGGTTGTGCTTTTCTTCGGCCATTCAAAGCGATATTGAAACGCTCTGGCCATTTACATAAAAAACGGCACTAATAAGGAACTTCCCGGAGAAAACGAATCTTTTTAAGTTGCTAAAAAACTTCTGAGCTAATTAGACATCCAGTTTGGTCATAGAAGAAAGACTGTCTAAGCAGTGACCGTCGAAAACATGCGGGGAAAAAATCTACCTCACTTTCGTTAGAAGACCTTCGAGTGCTGTTCTTCAGATCCTTCCAAAAAAATACATTTAGTTGCCGGACACACTAGTAGTTGAAAGTTACTCAAAACTTCCTACATGTACTGCACGGAACTACAGTTCATAAGTAGGGATAGTAATAAAGCACTCTCCGGGAAGATGAAGTTTTCACAGGACAGAATAAACCTCCCTAAATACCCTTGTATTTAAACGAGTTTCACTCTATTCGTCTTCTACTTGATACGTTTGTTAATTTGTATCCTTCCGCTTTGTTGTCTTTTGTCTCGTAATCATGAACCCATCTCATATCCAGTACGAAGCACTGTGGATTGTGCTTCTCACTACCACTTAGGCACCTTTCGGCATTTATTCGAGGCTTGCAAATTTATTACTAATATAGAGCACTGGCAGCTTAAATAGTGCGAATCATTCTGGACGACGCTTTGTCTTGTGTGAAATTCCAAGAGAATCATGAATGTCGAGGCCCGATTTTACTTCGATCCCTAGACGACCAATTATCACATGTCCTACGGTGCCCATTACTTCATCGTTTTCTTTCGTTTTCTTGCAGCCACCATTCAGTGAAATGGGATTTAAGTTTCAATTGAGGGCTTGACTACTCTTTTCGTCACTGATATGCTGATTGTTGGTTTAGCGTGGCTTCCTATGAAACTCCAAGTTAGCCGTGTTTGACTGCTCTCAGGTTATCACCGAGAATCACCGCTGTTTATGGATCGAACCTAGGTCTACTGTGCTGCGTTTCGGATTCTTCCAGGGCGGCTACATTTCTTATGACGGCAGCGAAGGCTTTGATCAGTATATCGACCAATCAGAGTTTTTTCTTAGACAATGTGGCAAGCCGTATTATCTATACAAGGCACAGTCTCTATGAGGCCAACCAAAGCAATGCGATTCTTGTCATTTTCTCTTGTTTTTTATACTAGCCTTAATAAAAAGAAACCAGTTGATTTTACTGCCCTGTTCACATGTTGGTGGAATGCGGTTCGCAACCCTTTCTAGACCATCGAAGGTTTAACTGATTTTTATTTTCTTTGCTAATTGGTTGAGCAATGGAGCTGACGAGAATGCCGAATGAAGTAGAAGGGAAGCATTAGGAAGATTCGTTTTTGAGGAACAGAATAAGAATGCTGACAAATTCATATTGAGATGTGCTTCAGTTATAACTTAAACGAGCCATTCAATGTGAATTTGCTCTGAGAAATGTCCAATGGCCACCCAAATGATAGACAATTCACCGCGTTATTGTTTGCAGACGAGTTTTTTTCACATTAATTTGCAGACTCTATTGATTTTCCGGACAGATCTTTTATTTGAGAATGCAGAAAATAAGTTCACAAAAGAGCCCGAATCTTTTGCAGGAAGGCTTAGTTACGAACTGGCTGTGTTCCTACTGAAGAACGAATGAATGAAAAAACACTATAAGCGTTAGACTTGTTGCGCCACTTCCAACTTGTTATTTTCAACGTGGCCTTTAATTTTCATAGAAGATTCTACAGCACCGTATAATTGTACATAAAAGGATAAAGCACTCGGAGTTGATCAATCTATGAGGGATGCACCATGCATTCGAGTTCATTAAGCATTTTTTGGAGGTGACCGAATGCATATCTGACCTTTACAATGACTCGCGGTGGCCTGCCGATGTATCGAGCCAGTGCTACTATACTACCAGACAAGCCTGGCACCAATTTGCTGACCCCGGAGGGATGGAAGGCTTGGTGGGCCACAGACGCCGGGATCGATTCAACGTGTGTGTTGCAGGGCGCCTCCGACCACACACTGCGCCACATACGCCCTTGTAATTGTACATATTATAGCTAATTATCGCGTACAGTATCGTATATAAGATTCTACAGTTTCTAGTTCTTTCTAAAGTCATTATACAGTTTGAAAAAGATCTGTGCGCAAAATTTGAATTACATTATTCTCCACTGACCTGTTCTGCTGCTCCTTCATTTGGAAGGACTTGCTGCCTTTATTGGTTAAAACAAAGAAGCAAACTATACGAGAGGTATCCTACTTTTCTACAGTGATTGTATCGAAATCGCTTTGTGCTTTTAATATACCGTTTTTCTAATTCATGCTATATAAAACTAGCTACTCTCTATTTTCCTAGAGAATTTCATTAGTTTATTTTACCTCGCTCTGAATACTCGACTGAGCAGAGTCCGGTCTGCAAAGCACATCATTGGCTGGTGGTTCAGGCGGAGATGTGGGAGACGCCACCTCAAGCTGCGAGTTCACTGCTTCCTCTGTTGTCTCTGACTGAACAGAGTGATCCTCTTCGGCAGCTATTGATACCGATACTGAGTCGGATGCCGGGCGAGTTGCTGAAGGGCTGTATTTTGGATTAAAGTCGAATTACCGAAAACCGACAAGAAAGCTGTCGCTTCTTTGATGAATAATTAAATCAGGAAACCTGTTTAAATCAGAGGACTTAAATCTAAACCAAGCTCATCTTCGCGTCTCTGATATAAATAAACGCACCTGGTGGAGGAAGAATGCTCTGTAGTGATGAAGGCATAGCACGAAGTGCAATTGGAAACCATGGCGGCAGAGATGGCCTCAGTCCTTGTAGAAGTGGCACACAAAGCGGAAACTGACCAAGCCGTTCCATAGTCAGAAATTCGTCGGGCACTGTCCAGCTGGATATTAACGACCCGTCGCGATTCTGCAAGGGGAAGAATGTGCACTTTAGAAGGAATAGCAATACATCAAAAAATAAAACAGTGAGGATTACAATATAAAAAGTTACGAAGAGGTTGAAAGCTAAAGAAAATGCGAACGGCGTGTACTTCTGTTGCTTTCTGCATAATACGTTGTTACACTACGAGAAGTTTTAGGAAGAAGGAAGATTAACACTCACGATAGAGCGTTGGGATTTAAAGGGTCGTCATAAATGATGGCCGTTTCGTCACCCTATATATTATTTCGTCCTGTCAAAAGGCCACCCGCCTCAGAACGCGAAGGACGCGACTGAGCACTTCAGATGAGCCTCGAGGGAGTCACCGTCTTGAGATACCCGGCCAATTTGAACGCGGTCGGAACAACAACGACTGGGGTCGTGAAATTTTGATGAGTACCGTAGTTGAATGGGGCGCATGTGGGTGCAGTGGTCGGAGGCGCCCTGCAACACACACGTGGAATCGATCCCCGCGCCCATGGCCCACCAAGCCTTCCATCCCTTCGGGGTCGGCAAATTAGAACCCGTCTGGAGAGATAGCAGCACTGGCTCCATACATCGATAGGCTACCACGAGTCATTGGAAAGGCCAGATTTGAATTCAATCACCTCTAAACGATGCTTAATGGAGTCGAATGCATGGCGCATCCCTCAGGGATAGGTCAACGCCGAGAGCTCTATTCTTTATTCACCCGTATTTGCCGTAGTTGAATATGGTAAGCGAACAGTTAGCATAATTTAATTGTACTCTATAAGATTAAGACTTTCGGCAGGGTCTCCCAAGCTGAGAAGGAGCCCGGCGTTTTCATCAGGAAGCCTAGCTAAGAATAAACCAATACCAGAATCCACCACAGTCCTGGTATCAAAATCGCATGGTGGTAAATCTCTCTCTGATCCACAAGGGCTGCGACTGCCTGTCATGATGGGAGCCTGGGGCAGACTTTGGCCAGGCTGTCCTCGGGATTCCAGGGAACCACAATGTTTTAATCAGCAACTCTCCGAAAAACGGTGATTATGCTGGGGCCCGAACAACTAGTGAGGACGGGCCATTCAAGTACCAAGTATCAAGTGAGATTAAGGCTCTCTCACAGTTTCTATGGATATCCGAACACGAAATTAGATTGAAAGCGTTGATCTGTTGTATGAACGACGACACTTGAACTGGTGAAGATCGATATCCAAAGCAATTTTTGTAAACTATGCTTAACGGACGTCATAGGCTTCGAGAAATTTTCATTGCTCTATCGATGCTAAAGCTCAGCGTTGTAGAAATGTTTGGATGTATTCTCCTTTTCACCGAGACATAACGACCCTAATGGTTTGTATCCAGACGCGATTTTTTAATAGAAATTTTTACCCAGAAAAAACAAGGTTTAAAAATAATTATCAAAATAGAAGTTGATTTCGCGCGTTTCCTAGCCGAAACTGATTCAGAGGATTCTAAAGTTAACAATCTCGGTGAAGACCTTCATTATTTCTTACATCAACTTAATCTTTTCACTATAACGTCTATTCTTATCGGAAATGACTGCAGAAGACTAGTGTTGCATCCTACCAGCTAGCTGTATATGTCATCGTTTTCATCTCTATCATCTTTCAATCTCAATTTTGCATCTTTAGGACAGATAACAACCCGACGTAACCCTTTGAACACATAACGGTGATTTCTCGATTTCACAGTTATCAATAAAGAGAATGGTTGGTCTCAGGATGCAGTGTATAATTAGCTGGCAGTGTTCGCTGCTCCCAAATTCGAAGATAGTTGGAAATCGGCGAAATGTATCGGAAACGACATTGTCGGCGACAAAATAATAGGCGGATTCGAGCAGTAGAAGCAGCAGTAGCAACTCAGCAACATTAGCATCAACCACCCATCCAGCTCACCAGTGAGGATCACCCTGTGAAGACATACTCTTTGGTCTAAGAAGATTTTCAAGTTTATTAAACAACACAATTTTTAGTGGAAAATCTACAAATAAACAGATTTGTCGGTTGATTTTCGATCTAAAAGACCGTTTAAGTTCAGAAAAAAAGTTTGGAAAAAACTTTTTTACGTATTACCCATTTAATGATAGATATTTGAACAAAATTACCGATGTAGATATCAATATGAACTAACTGAGAGAAAGACGAAACTAAGGACCCGTATGGCGTGGTAATGAACGCGTCAGCCCCGAAAAGGATAATAGCGCGTTTGTTCCCCACCACAGACGCTTGCGGTCTGGAGTTTTGCAAATATCTCAGTATCATAGTGGTTGCATCACACATAATATCCTGCCATGAAAAATTATAATAGGCAGTAAACAAAAAGTTAGCGTAGATATCAATACTTTGGCGAAAACTGGGAGATCTCGTTTAATTTTACGAAACAGTGGACCAAGTAATGCTCTAAAAAAATTTAAGCAATGAGGATAGCTTTTGCAGAAATACTGATGCATGACGGGAAAACAAAAATTTTAAAGCCTATCGGCTTGCTGAGTTCCACCGCTTCCTATAAAGATTTTAAGATGGAGAAATTTAACCGCTTCTGGATTTTGAGGAGTTTCAAGTAACCGAGACATGGAGATGGGAGCGTACTTCATCTTCGTTGAAGAAATGTCCAACATGGTCAATAGGTTACTTAATGACACAAGTTTGTGGGGCTAACGTATAGCTAACATCAGTGAATTTACAATAAACACACTGAACCGATACCATTACCTTAACCGGGTGAAGACGTCTTCTGTATACCGTCCTGGCTTGATACCGATGTTTTGAGTCAAATGAGTCGAAGATAACGATGGTCGCCGCCTGCGAAGCAGTCAAAGGTCGAAAATGAGCGAGTTGACACACATCCACGTAACGAGCCTCATCGTCTTATCTCTGAGATATGTTGGCCACGTGGACATCTTCTTCTGTTGGAACGTGACAAGATAGGAATGATCTTGAAAAACGAGAATACCTTCTTTTCTATTCAATTATACCGTTATGAATTCGACTCTAGAGGCTAACTTTGCTCTTCTAGATTCTAAAACAAGAAAACGGTGTAAAATTACCAAGGCGAAGGTTTTAACATGAGACTGTTGTCATCCGACGCTCATAAATATCTGATTCGAATCAAATCAGAGCTTTTTATGGCATGTCATTTTTTCATGTAAGTGGTATGTCCCTTAGATCGAGCGTTAGAAGTAAGCAAATCTATTGAAATTGGGACTCTTGATAAGTGGCATGAGATTTTTTAATGTTACAAAGTTGCTCGAAATGGCGTAAGACCAACTGCAAAGAGATCGCATTCGCTTGTTGACACTCGAAATGAATAAAATCAAAAGTAACAAGAAACAGACCATGCTAGGAATGTTCTGCGGAATCTTCGAGACATAATCGAGTAGTTCTTTCATTGGGTTTGGCAGAGAGGGAGATGGAGAAAAAACATTTCTAGGTGGCGGGCGCGGTGTCGAATATACGACGGATGGAGCCAGTGAGCCGACATTTTCAAAGGAAGGCGTATGGCTGACGTATCGCAAGAAAACGAAAGAAAAAGTCGCGAAGCCATGGAACTCCCACGAAAACTACAGTAGATAGGTGATTTGAATTCGGATGTCGAGCAGAGGCAAAGAAAGTCTTTGTGGTTTTCATATTAATGAAACTTAAACCATATGCTTTGAATGCTCATTGATTTCCAGAAACCAACTCGTGTTCAAAAGTCGTACAAAGGAGAGGATGCTTTCTCTGACTGGTTAATTATGATCGATTCTAGGTGCGTTATAAAACAGAAAGTTAATAAACGAAAGTGAATACGTTCTTATGTGACGTAGTTCATTCCGATAATGACGAGACAACGTAAAAGAGTCGAAATCGTACAACTTTCATGGAGCTCAGCAACATAGTTCGATGTTTTTCAAGGACTTCATTTATATCTGTGGTAGTTCTACCAGCGCATTAATGTATTAAATAACTAACTAACTATATGGTTCTTAATGTTGACCGTTTATTTTCTGCCTACTACAGTTTTTCACGGCAGCAAATGGTGTGAATTACAACCACAACGATGCTAAGATATTCGCAAAACTTGGACCCCGAGCCAGATCGGCCCACGATTTTCCTTTCCGGGGCTTGCGTATTACACACTGCACCACGTAGGCCCTTGCTCTGCGTCTCTCAGCTAATTTTCCTGCCTACAGGTGCTATCAGCAATCACCCGTCAAAGGGATTGATCTGGAGAGCACAAATCGGCATGAACCCAGGAGTCGAGCTCATTAATGGCACTGGCAGATAGAAAAACTGGGTGAGATAAACGCAGAGCAATGGTCTCAGTGGTGCAGCGTGTAATACGCAATCCTCCGGAAAGTAAAATCGTGGTTCCATCTGGCCCGGAGTCCAAGCTTTGCGAACTTCTCAGCATCGCTGTGGTTATATGGTTTCTGATCTGCGTAAATTTGTAGAGCAAGGTTATCTTACTGAATAGGGTGGTGTTTTATTAGTTTACCATTAACACTGTAATCTTTACTCCACCAATGAAAGGTTAGTACTGATGAAATAGTTATCTCAGTGATATAATTTAATGAAGATAAAAAAGATTTTTCTATTTCTGGAAACTTCTTTTTTTCGACTACGTCAGAAAGCACGTCTGATCTACCTTATAATTAGTCCACTTCAATGTAGAATAGACCCCAACAACCCTACAGTGGACTAGCCTGCGCGCCTTCCATTGCATTGAAATACAATATTTCGAATAAAACTTATAAATCATTTAGATTTAGAGCTCCAATTAAGCAGTAATTATGCACTATCGTCCTAAGTGAGTTTTCTGTGTGAAGTTTGTAGAGGAAATAAGAACTAATCGAATTACATTAGTTATGTTAAGACTGTCTTCGTAAAAATGTCAGGGCTATAGAAATGTTCATTAATCGTTATCCCGTTGATTGAACTAGCAAAAGAAGGTTCAATTCGTCATTT